TGCTGTGCCTGGCGGGGCTGCTGCAGCTGCTGCGGCAGCACTGTGGCGGCGGTGCGCCCTCGGCCGGGTCGCTGCGCCGGCGGCTCCCAGGGCAGCACCAGGAGGAGGAGGAGGAGGAGGAGGAGGAGGAGGAGGAGGAGGAGGAGGAGGTGGAGGAGGAGGAGGAGGGGGAGGGGGGAGGAGGAGGAGGAGGAGGAGGCGGAGGAGGAGGAGGAGGAGGAGGAGGAGGAGGAGGAGCAGGAGGAGCAGGAGGAGGAGGAGGAGGAGCAGCAGGAGGAGGAGGAGGAGGAGAAGGAGTGGGAGCACCCTCCCCCTGTGGAGGCCCCCCCCGTGTTGGTGTCAGTGCTCATGTTCAGGCCTCCGAAGAAAAAGGTACACATTGTTCATTTCTAATTCTTCGAAGGTTTTTTGGGGGGCCAAGATCCTTTCACTTCTAATTGTTCTATCCTGGTCCTCTTCCTGGCCGCTAGGGGGCCAGAAACAATTAGAACCGAGCACAATTAGACATGAGCATGATTAGAAATGAACGACGTGTACCGGTATCGATACGCTCCCCGGACCTCTCGGGCGTTCTCTGACCTGACTGTCGAGGAGAATCCAGCCGTGGTGGCGATAGCTCCTCAGGAAGAGCAGCGCCATCGGCAACTGTTCCTCCCATGACCCTCAACAGTCAGCCGTGGCTCCCCAGAGGTCCATACCCCATTCCTAGATCCGAACTTTCATCCTGAGCCGTTGTTTGAAGGTCCCAGGGCCTTTCCGTTGTGAATACTTCACGCCCGCGAGGGAAGGGCAGCGGTATGTGCGGTACCTCGGCCACGCGCAGTGGGGGCTAGGGGGAGGGGGAAAGGCTTCTCAGACGCACCCCTGCTTCTTGGAAAGCTTGGGCCTTCTTTATACATGTAGGGACGGCGCTTTCTAAGAACTGCCTCCTTCTAAGAAGCCTCCCCCCTCCCCCTACCCCCCTCTGCGCGCCGCCAAGTACGGCGGGGGCGTTGGTTAAGGAACGTGCCCAGGAGGCTTCAGAACCTGGAGGCTCCCGTATCTGAGGAGGGCGGCGGCGATGTCCGTGGCCAATCCACGACTGGATTTCCACTGGCTTCCAGACCCTGGCAGCCCACAGCCGAGGGGGGGAGGCGAGTTTCGGTTTCAGGCGGCGCCCGTTTCAGGGACCACGCTCTGGGGCGTGACAGCGAGGCGATTGCGAGTAGAGCTGAGTGTCAAGGAATCTTTTCACTGCCGAGCGAATTCAGACATCGTGAAACGGCCCGCTCTATGCTGCCTGATAAAAAATCCTCATCCGATGCCCCAGCCGTGCCCGCAGCTCCTCCCCCGAGGTTCCTGCAGGCCGCGGTGCCCTGGCCCTGGGACCTCGGCGGCCCGGCGCTGCACGCGGCGCTGGCGCGGGCGCTGCGGGACGAGCTCGACGCGCGGGTGGCCGCCATGGAGCCTCGGCATCGCTCGGACGTGTACATGTTTTTTTCTCGGCGAGGACCCTCGAGGAGCATCCTCGACCATTTGGCGAAAACACCATGCACGAAACCCAAAATGGACGTCCGAGCGATGGAAATGGAACCCAAAACCCAAAATGGACGTCCGAAAACCACGCACGAAACCGAAGAAAACACAGGAAATGGACGCCCGAGCGGTGGCCAGGAGCTGGCGCGGCTGTCCAAGCGGGACCTCGGCTGGTGGCTCGAGGCGCGCGGCTCCCCGGTGAGCCTGGCGCTGGAGGACCCGGCGATGGGGCGGAAAAAAGGGGGGGGATGACTAGGAGGGGGTGGATATCATGGCGGGGGCCATGATATCATGGCGGTGACCTTCGACCCGCTCCCCCCCCCGTCCGGCAGCAGCCTCCATCCCTCCGGAGCTGCGGCATGGGGTCCGCTGCCGCCGTGCCAGCACCGGCGCCTTGAGACCAGGTGTCCACCATCGGGGGCGGAAAAGAGGGGGGTGATGACTAGGGGGGGGGGGGGATATCATGGCGGGGGCCATGATATTTCCCCAGATTTCATGGCGCCTCTCCTCGTTCCATTGCGTTCCTGGCCCCCCCGCTGGGCCGGGCACCTGCCGCCGGTCATGATCTGCACCCCCTCCTCTTGGACACCTCCCTCTTGGCCGCTCCCGAACTCGGCGAGGGGTCAAAGGAAGGAGCCCCGACCTTCCAGGAGGGCCACAGAGCAGCACGAGGGCCTCGACGTCCAGATTCCTGTCGAGGTTTTTGTTGGCAGATCAGATAGGTCTATGGGTCTGGAGGCCAGCTTTTTCGCACTCTGGAATGTCAGGGCAAAGGCACCCACACCGCTACCCTTCTGCCGTGTTCCGCTGTTTGGGCCTCCTGAGAGGCCCTCGCCGCCACCGCTGGAGAGCGGTCTCGGTGCTTCTTGGCTTCCGCCAATGGGGGGTGAGTCTGGGCGGGAGGATCGTGCCGGCGGGGCTGGGAGGATCGCGCCGCATCGCCGGTGCATGCGTTGGCGGTGCGGCTCAATGCGGAGCCCGATTTCCTCGACGGCGTGGCCGATGCATCGCCGACGTCGCCGATGCATCGTCGACGCATCGATGATGCATCGGCGATGTGGCGCGGTCCTCCGACCCCATCTGGGAGGCCTCTAATGAGGAGCTTCTCGAGGGACAGAGCACGATGACCACGGCCACGATGTCGCGGGATCTTGTCGGCGCCGATGTTGATCATGGTCCATGCAAGCCGTCGCCAGGTCGCGAGGATGATCCAGCAATTGACGACGACCAAGACAGACGGTGGCCAAGATCGACACCGACGTTTCCTCGTTGTCCTTCCCTCCTGTATCAGAGACGAGCCCAGAGCCCAGCAAGGCCTGAGGGTGAAAGCCCGACTTGTCTGACTGATGCTCTGTGGGGGGCCTGTGCTCAGGGGAGGCTGCAGCACCACTCGACGATGTGCTGGTTGAACCAACCTGCAGGGAGGAGGGAGGAGGGAGGAGGGAGGAGGGAGGAGGGAGGAGGGAGGGAGGGAGGAGGGAGGAGGGGGAGGGAGGAGGGAGGAGGGAGGAGGGAGGAGGAGGAGGGAGCGGGAGGCGGGAGGCGGGAGGCGGGAGGAGGGAGGCGGGAGGCGGGAGGCGGGAGGCGGGAGGCGGGAGGCGGGGCCCCTGCCCCTTGCTCGGTTCCAGCTGGGCCTCCTCGGGCCCCCGATGCTGACGCGCGCCTCCCCTCTCACTGGCGCGTGCCACGAGCTCTGCCTACATGATCTCGGCATCGCTCGGACGTGTGCATTTTTCCTTCGGCGAGGACCATCGAGGAGCATCCTTGATCATTTGGCGATAAAGCCACGCACGAAACCGAAAAAAGCACAGGGAATGGACGTCCGAGCGATGCCAGCATGATCCGGTCGTGCCTTTCCGCTGTGCGGCCTCTCCAGGGCCCACGCGTGGGGCACCGCGGGCCACCAGAGTCGCATCCGGGACGGATCACTACGCCTGGGGAGGGGGCGTGCGAGAAGTCGGGGAGCGAGGATCGAGGGCGAGGAGAGGTGGAGGAGGGTCGAGGAGCTCGGATCGAGAGCGAGGAGGATCGAGGATCGAGGGCGAGGAGGATCGAGGATCTCGGATCGAGGGCGAGGAGGGTCGAGGATCGAGGACCGAGGGCGAGGAGGGTCGAGGATCGATGCTCCTGCACGTTGCCGCTCCCCGCGGGGCCTCCGGGGGGCCGGGGAAGGCGCCCCGGTGGCCACGGCCAGGTGCCCCCGTGCGGAGCGCTGGCCAGGGCGCACCCCGGGACGGTCCGGAGAAGTCGAGCTGGAGGAGAGGGTCTGGGGGGGGGCCCTCCTCCTCCTCGTCCTCCTTCTCCCCCTCCCCCTCCTCCTCCTCCTCCTCCTCCTCCTCCTCCTACGTTTCTACGTTTCTCGCTATGCAGCGTCTTGTCGCGCGCCCCGCGGGCGCGGAGCGCTCTGCAGCGGCCCTCCAGGGCCGTGCGGGCACTCAGACAGCGGCCCCGGGAACCCGACCCCGAGGAAAGCAGGGAGCCAGGGACCAAATAATCACAGAGAAGGGAGAAGGGGGGCCGGGTTTCAGCAAAACTAAAAAGATGAGGGCCCGTCTGGGCCCTCAGCGGGCGCCGCGCTCGCCCGTGCCAGCTCAGCCAGCTCGGCGCGCAGCCAGGCCTTCGGCCTCTTTGTGGGCGGTCGGCCTCTTGTGTGGCGGCTGGGCTCCCTTCGGCGCCTCGCGCTGAGCCCAGCCGCCAGATCATCAGATGGATGGCCGCCTTCTCTGCGGCGGCCTCCACCCTTCGGCGCTTAGCGCTGTGGAGGCCCGCCGAGCCTCTCTTGGACTCCGGCGGCTCTGCAGCAATCTCCTCGCCTGCCACGCGAGGGCGGTGGGGAGACACCCTTCGGCGCCAGGCGCTGTGTCTCCCTCACCGCGGGGCAGGCTGCCCCTTCTGGTCGAGTACTCCATGGCTTGTAATTCTCCATGGTGACTGACGCTGTATACTTCCAGTACTGCCTGACGTTGCAGAGCTGCTCCATATAGAGCTTGCGCTTGTAGGGCTCCATGCAGAGCTGCGGTGCTGCCGTCGTCAGTCATGACCCCCCTGCTTTTGAGGTGCAGGGGGGTGCTGATCACGGATGTTGTAGATGTCGATGTACGGGGGCTGAGTGCAAGATGTGGAGCGAGTTGGACGGTCGTTGGGGGTCGGTTCGTTGCTGGTGTTGTGTTGGTTGTGGGCTCCCAAGGCCTCCATGCACCGACTTCAAGTGGGGGTCCTTGCTGTCCCACCTCGTCCCGCTATGGCTAGGGGTCACGGTGCCCTCGGTGGGGGCGAACCCCAGGCCTGGTACTTGTTATCGTCGGAGTGGGGTGTCTCGGCTGTCCAGCTTCGCCCTCGGGCGATCGGGTAGCTCCTCCTTCTCCATGGGAATGGTGGGGGTGGCGAGCTAGGGCGGACCGCGGGGGCGCAGGTAGTGGCCGTCCTACCCCCCCCCCCTGCCCCTCACCATCCCCGCTGGCGGGCGCGGGAAGTACTCGTCCTTCCCCCCCAGCCCTTCGAGCCCGTCTCGAAGTTTGATCCTCACCAGGACAGCGTTGACTTGGCAGGAGTTGTGTGGGGTCGTGCTGGGTATGCTGTCGATGTCGGTCGGTGGTACGCTGGCGGCCAATGGGCCGCCCGCTGCCAGCCAGCTGGCGCCATCCAAATTGTAGATATCCAGTCGCCGCCGGGGTACACAACAAAACGTGGCGACTTGTGCCTGGGGTGTTCCCTCGCATTCGGGGCTTCCCCAGGACTTGCGTTCTAACCATAGCAAAACTTGGCGACGCTGCCTGAGGTCTTCCCACGCATTCGGGGCTTCCTCAGGACTTAAGCAGCACACCGTAATGCCTTGTCCAGGGCGCAAGATAATCATAGAAATAAATGCCAATGTTAGGAAAGTCGCTAAATCCAGAAAGTGCTCGAGGGGGGGGCACGCTCCGTCGCCATTGAGGGATCGTGCCCACCCGTATGGGCGCTACGGGTCCCCCCCCCTCGAGTGTGGCACGCAATCGTTGTCCAGGTCGCAGCCGTGCCAGTAACCCAGTAGCAACGGGGTATTGGGCCATGCAGTAGGTGCGCTGATGCTGACACGTCTGCTGCCAATCTGAAATACTCTGTATACAATATTGTAATGCCAGCTGCCCTCAAATCTGTAGCAGGCCGGTGGTCTGCGCCAAACTGCAGACCAATGTTCCCTTCAGGGGCTGAAGTATATAATACTGAACGCTTGACTCGACTAACTGCACCAAATAATGTAGTGCCGCTGCAGTGCCAGCTGCTAGCGCCGATGGTTGCCCCATGCCCTGTGACAGTCATGGCCGAGCTGCTCTGGCTCAATGTAGTAATCCAAGGGGGCGTAGAACCTGTGGTAGCATTCATCCGTTTCGGCCCACATTGCCTCTTCGTCAGCAAGCTGCCCCCAGTGGGCTGCGAAAGCGGTAGCCATTGCCTTGCACAGCCTTGATGGATACTCTTTGAGGGGGGCGGTCCTCCAGCCGCCTTGGCCGTCTCGTCCGTAAGCTCTGGCATGTCCCGTATGTCGGCATAGCTGTCCCCCAGGTACCGCCCTTAGCTCCTGTGCGAGTTCACCGAAGTGTGCCGCCATCAGACATGTTGGTTTTCTCGCAGCCTGCCCAAACTGGCACTGGTCTATGTAGTGAAGTTCGACGCCCGTCTGCTCCAGGAGCCAGAGTGTCTCTGCTCGCTGCCAGCTGCTAGGCGCTTGAGGGCACCAGGTGGCTGGGGCGGGATGCTCGAGTACGGCTGAAACGTTGTACTGCAGGCCCGTGGTGATGAGTAGTAAAGCTGTCCTGTATAGCTCGTTGGCTAGTGCGATCTGTTGATGCTCCGCTTGACTAGCTGCTTGTATGCCCCAGGGGGATTCATGTGTACGTAGTGGTCGTGGTGCATTCCCCTCGGCGGCATGCCAGCGCGATGAGCACCACGTCTCGCAGGGCGGACCCGCCACAATACCAAATATTTTGCCCTGTCGTATCGCTGCGCACCAAAACTCGACGACGTCTGGCTTCGTCAGGTCTCCTTTGTCGGGGTCGATCTGCACGTCGATCGATAGTACTACCAAGTTACATTCCCGAATGTTCATCTCGAAATGGTACTGGAAATCCTCGATTCGACGTCTGCCCGAGAAAAGGTGCAGCAAGAACATAGCCGTAGTAACCATGGGCCTGCACGGTGAGAATACGTTTGCAGGTGGTGTCGCTGTTTGGACGTCCGCTGCTGCAGGCGGGGCCGGCGAGAGTTGGAGCTGATGCTGGTCTATGTAGTCGGCCAGCTTGAGCTGTATGACCTGTTGGGCGGGCACCAGCGCCTTTGTAGCTCCATGCCCCATTGCCTTCCTCGCCGCCACAGCTTCTCGTTCTTCTTCTCGGCGTTCGGCTGCCTCCTGCAAATCCATTGGGACTTCGATTGCTTGGAGGACCGCCAGGCATTTGGGGCACCTTCTCAGGTGCTTGAGTATGCGCGATCTCGTTATGAAGTTCTTCCCGCACCCAGGGCAGGTAGTCGAACGGGCAAGCAATTCGGGAAGGTCGTAGCCGATGTGTTCCATGGTGCGATGGCGCTTCCATGCTCCCCGAGTTTTTAATATCTTGCCACACTCATAGCATATGTAGCCTCCTCCTCCTCCTCCTCCTCCTCCTCCTCCTCCTCCTCCTCCTCCCTCCTCATCCTCATCCTCCTCCTCCTCCTCCTCCTTCTCCTTCTCCTTCTCCTCCCCCTCCTCTCCTCTCCTCCTCTCCTCCTGGCGAGGACGCAGGGAGGAGGAGGAGGAGCGGGAAGCCCCCCCCCCCCTTGGCAGACGAACGCCCCGTGGACTTGCCATTCGGGCGGGGCCCTCCCAGCTTCCCCCCCCCCAGGAGACCTCGGCCACCTCTCTCCCGGGCCGGCTTCTCTCCTCCTGCGAGTATCGGGGGCCCCCAAGCGGTGTGGTGACCACACCGCGCGGTGGGTCGGTGGGGATTCGGGGTCACCGCACGGGTTCGGGACTCGAGTCCCTCTCCGAGGATGTCTCGGGCGGCAGGGGCCTCTCCAGGGTCCCAAAGCCGTGCGGTGACGGACCGTGCGGTGAGGTCTTGGGGGATGTCGAGGTCACCGCACGGTCCGTCACCGCACCGCTTCGGGACTCCAACAGGTCGGGTGCTGCCAGAAGTGCCCCTGGGCCAAGGTGCCCCCAGGAGTCTCGGGGCAGCCCAGACGGCTTCCCAAGCACCCCTCACTAGGCCCAGAGGGCCCCAAGGGCTCCAGAAAGGAGCGAAGAGCTGGGGGCACCTTGGGCCAGGGGTACTGCTAGCAACACCCGAGAGGGAGGAGGCCCCACCAGAGTCGGAAATGGGGTGGACTTCCCTCTGGGGCCGCGCAGTGGGCAGACCACGGGCAGACATCGTCGCGCGCGCGCGTCGTCTCTCGAGCTGCGCGTGCTGCTCGTGTGTGTGTGTGTGCTTCGTGCCAACGGAAAAGTGGTGCCCCTTCGGCAGTGGCGCGCTGATGGGGTCGTCGGGCTGGCTGGCGAGACACCGACGTTGCCTTCGCTCTCCAGAGGACGACTCCGTCCCGAAGGAGTCGATCGCCCGCCTGGCGAGAGAGCTGCTGGCGGCGGGCGCGTCGAGCACGCCAATCCTCGGGTCGGACGTAGGTCGGGGACACGTAGGACTGAGGGTTTGCCCGAGCTCGGGTTTGCCGATGTACCGATGCCCCTCGTGTTCGCCTCCATCGTGCCTCCTTGGGGCCCACCGTCCCTGCGGCTGTTTTCGCGACGCGACGTCCTGGTCAGACCCCACCATGGGAGAGGTCCGGGGAGCAGCCGTGTCTGTATCCCTGCTGTCGGGGATACGTAAGACTTGAGTTGGCTGGAACTCGGGTGTGCCGCCCTTTTGTGACGGGTCCGTCCTGAGTGTGGCAGTCTTGTTTCCGTGGGATGTTTGCAAGCGGGAGGTCGCGTCAAGCTTCAGATTGGGCTTCGCCAGGTTCCTGTCGGCCCCGTCAGGCCGACCCCAGTCCCCCGAACCCGAGTCTTAACCCCTCACCGAGAAGGGTGGGAATCGGAAAGGTGGGGGGGGATCTGAGGGACATCGTGAGGGGAGGGGAAACACACACAGACACAATCAATCGTCGATTCCCCCGAAAATATGGGAAGATATGAGAAGTGAGGGGGAAGACGAAAACCCAGAAAATATAGGGAATCCTTTCGTTTGTGTGCATTTATTTGTGTGTCCCAGGGCCCCTTTCAGTTAGGGGTGGGGATCGGCTTCGTGGGGGGTGCATCGGCCCGACTCGCCCGCGCCTCGCCGACGGGGACCCCGCCGCGGCGGCCAGGATCGCTCGATTCCGCTGGCGAGGGCTGTCGGCCGATCTGTCGGCGATGTGTCGCCGATTCCAGGGGAGAAGGAGGAGGAGGAGGCGGAGGAGGAGGAGGCGGAGGAGGAGGAGGAGGAGGAGGAGGAGGAGGAGGCGGAGGAGGCGCAGGAGGCGGAGGAGGAGGAGGGGGAGGCGGAGGAGGCGGAGGAGGGGGATGAGGACGAAGAGGAGGAGGAGGGGGAGGAGGGGGAGGAGGAGGCAGATCGATGCTTGCCCCCCTGAGCCAGCGCCCTCCCCCCCCGATGCCCCTCCGGGTTGCAAAGCCTGCTGCGCGCAACCAGCTTCGGCTCCGCCGCCGAGCGCCTTCCACGATGCATGGCATGCCCCCGGGCGCTGGGAGGCGTCGGGAAAGTCGGCTACGCGAGTTGATTCGGTACCCCCCCCCTTTACTCTCATGTCAGCTCGTGTTTAGTGAATGACGTTCCCTCCCCGATGGCTGGTGAATGGATACCGCGGGGCTCGAGAGCTGTTGTTCGAAAGCGCGCGCGCGCCCTGGGGGCGATGTGCGACTGCGCCATGGATGACGACGAACAGTATAAACGACGCACCGCTTCCTAACGGGTGAAGCAGGGAGAATTCTGGAGCGCTGCGCTCAAATCTGTGCCCAGTCCCGAGGGCCAGCGATTTTGTTTGTTTCACGGCCTCTTCCAGCGTGGCAGCGCCGGCAGCAGTGACGGGAGGGCGACGGCAAGGCGTCCAAAGAACGCTATAAGAACCCCTTGTGGTTTGCACGACGTGTGTGTGTGTGTGTGTGTGTGTGTGCGTGTGTGTGTGTGTGTGTGTTTGTGTTTGTGTTTGTGTTTGTGTTTGTGTGTGTGTGTCTCTGTGTGTGTCTCTGTGTGTGTCTCTGTGTGTGTCTCTGTGTGTGTCTCTGTGTGTGTCTCTGTGTGTGTCTCTGTGTCTGTGTGTGTCTGTGTGTGTCTGTGTGTGTCTGTGTGTGTCTGTGTGTGTGTGAGCGTGT